AACACACACACACACACACACACACACACACACACACACACACACACACACACACACACAAACCCCGTTTCCACACACGAATATTATTTTTAAAACATTTTCCACAGGTCCTTGAAGTGCCGCAGTGACCGCAAACCGTTCAGAGCGTTCAGATATCGGCTTTTCCACAACCCGGTTGCCGTGGCTTGACTATAACCTTGACCTTTCCCTTACCTCTCCGCTCCACCTTCAGATTGACCTTTTCTCAAAATACTGTAATGCATAGGTTCAATGCCCTGTTCAACGTTGAAAGGTCATTTAAAAGGCAGGGCTTCCGGTGTCAAAGCGGACCGACACTTGAATTTAGAATTCTGAAGCTGTTGAGAATATTACTGCAATACGCACCAGCCCGAAAAAAAATTAAACCGGCGTTTGTTTGTTTGTTTGTTAGCTTGTTTTTCATACCCATTAAGGCACATCGCTTTAAAATCCCGTTTCCAAATGTTTTTTTCATGAATATGCATAAATTTGAAATATTTGTAAATCATAAAAGATTTTTTTCTGGAAATGAGACGGATAAAATACGATTGTGTCTCTGTTATAGTTATAGATGTTGACAAAAATAAGCTTCATAATAAAAACAACGGCAACGTAAGCCATAGCACTAAAAGCAACGGGAGCGTTTTAGATCTATGTACCTCTCCCTCCCATTCGTGAACGTTCAATTCAGTTGTCCACCTTATGAATTTAACTCCACCACCACCACCACCTTCACCACCACCACCACCACCATCACTACCACAAACGGTAACAACAACAACAGCAGTAGCTAAAACAACAATAACAGCAACAACAACAACAATAAAAACAAAAACAGCAACAGTAACAGCAAACAGCAACCCTTGTTACAACGCCAGCAGCAAAGACTACGAAAGCGTTCGGGGCATTCTCCTTCCTGGCCTGCCATGTATTTTAAATGTACAAAATTACAAGATCTATTCTCCGCAGTTGACCCAACAGAATTCTCGACTTTATAAAAGCCATCGGACTTTTCACGAAATTGTAGATACAATTATTTCAATATTATGTCAATTGTCATTTTAAGATTGACATTTTAACATGACCTTTTAACATTTTAATCTGATCATTTTCCAAAACCAAGACGTGCTGTGAACTGTTGCGACTTGTGTTTCGACGCTCATAATATGACCTTGCAGTTGTGTGCGCCGTAAAACTCTTACTAAACAAACAATAACTCTGCTCTCATAACAGTAACTGAAGCAACTGAATCAAAAACAACAAAGGTTTCTTCGTTTGCTTTCTCCAGGAGCCAAGTAGCCCACCTAAGTAGAAATGATGAGCACCAAGGATTCCAAAAGGGAACCAGATCATATAAGCGTCATCAAGGGTCTTCTCTTTCTTGTCTCTCTCTCCTGCGATGATTTCATTACTGCGCTGTATTAGGAAGTAGATGCGGAACCAGTCACGGATCCAACCTGAAAGAGGAGGAATAACAACTATATTTATAATACTATACTAGATTATAGATTATATGTTGTATATATAACAATAGATGGCTTTAGTATAGTGCGTATTCTCACTCAGCAGCAAGCTCTATCTTCTTTACACTCTATAATATTATTATAAAGTAGAAAAAAGGGGGGGGGGGGGGGAGTTACCCCCACCTCCATCCCATCCCCCAATCCCTCTCTATCTTTTCCCATCATAACCGTTATGTTTCAGTGCGTCAAGTACATCCTAAAAAATTACCTCGGTATGGGATTATACCAGAAACAAAAAAAAATGTTCAATTAAAATATGTGTATTATGGAGTATTCAACGAGACAATGCATTAACGGTGCACGTATGATATAATAGCTATGATTCATTCGATACACATTTTCTGAAAGTAAAGGCAGAAAGCAAGAGAGGCAGGGGGGAGACCTAACAAAAGGTGGGAACAGAACGTAGAAAACTGGCTAAAAAGCTTAACAACTCAGGCAAGCAGAATGGCTTGACACGGAGTGTTTGGTTACAGAAAGGTCCGAGAAGGAACTTCTAACTTCAAGAAAAGCTGACAAGAAGAAGAAGAAGAAGAAGAAGAAGAAGAAGAAGAAGAAGAAGAAGAAGAAAAACACAACAGCAACAACCACAACAACAACAATAACAACATAATATCCAAAAACAAATTTGTTGCGCATCGCCTCCTACTCACCTGTTCCCGCCAGTCCCAGCGTGCATGTGTAGATGAGTCCCCAGTTGGAGCGGTTCATGTAGTAGTGGTGAGCACCCAGAAGACCCAGAGGAGAGAGGCCTAGGGCCAACGCAGGTCTGAAAAATAATAGTGACGTAAGGTTTAACGTCCCTATCAACACTATTAGGTGATTTAGGAGGCTGGAATTCAGAGTTTAACCCCCATCTACGAAAGGACTGAGCCAAATGGGACACAACGTTGGACCGAGCTGAGGTTCGAATCCCCGAACACACAATCTCACGATAACGGGTCCTGTACCCCAACCGCTAGGCTACCTACGCCACCGCAGGTCTGATGTTCTTACAAAGAGATTATATTTAATACTAGAGTTCGTGGCAGTGATGTTCCCCCACGTAAACGAACGGGATGTGCATGAGCCCACTCTGAGACGCTGAACCTCAAGGGCAAGACATGTGCAGCTCAACAGAACGGTGAGTACTTTTCGAGACTCGTGTGGAGACTCGTGTGGATGCGGAAACCTGCAAGCTTGCACTGAAACATGGAGACAGGGTAGGGTTTAATACACTAGAGCTCGTGAGAGCGGGTTGGGGGCACAGATTGTTCATGTAAATGGTGACACGCCGACCATATCGATGAGAGTAAGAAGGCCCCCATGTCTGACACGTGTGACGTCACTGTTGCGGGTTCTTGCATTATATGTATAACCTCTTCAGGTTCTTTTATCGTCATTCACTGTATCATCGGGTAGGTTTAACGCCCCTCTCACTGCATGTCTGATGATCATTGTATCATTGTATAGGTTTTACAACCCTTTCAGTGTATGGCTGATAAACACGGTAAAGTTACCCACTGTATCAGGGTATAAGTTTAACGCTTTCACTGCTGCTCTGGGGATCATTGTAAAGTCATTCATTGTATCATCGTATTGGTTTAATGCCCCTTTCAGTGCATTTCTGCAAACCATTTAAAGGCATTCATTGCATCATTGTAAAGTTTACGTCTTTTACTGCAGGTGTGTGGATCATTGTAAAGTTTTTCATTGTTCCATGGTATAGGTTTAACACCCCTTTCTTTCGGTGCATGTCTGGCGATAATTGTAAAGTCATTCATTGTCTCAATGTAAAGTTTAACCCCTTCACTGCCAGGCTGGTGACGTGGGTAATGGAGCAGGTCATCAAGGTTCATGTAACGCAGGGATTAGCCTCACAGTCCAACCAGAAAGCTCGAGACAGTCTCAGGGCAGGCAGCGTGGGAGTGAAACAGAGAGAGGTAAAGAGAGAGAGAGAGAGAGGGAGAGAGAGAGAGAGAGAGAGAGAGAGAGAGAGGGGGGAAGGGGAGGGAGGGAGAGAAAAAGAGGGAGAGAGAGAGTAAGATGGGTAGAGGGGAAGTGAGAAAGTATGCGC